TTTCTAGAATCGAGGTAGAGGGGAGGCTGGGCTTATGCATACAGGGATACCTTTCTAGAATCGAGGTAGAGGGGAGGCTGGGCTTACGGCATACAGGGATACCTTTCTAGAATCGAGGTAGGGGGAGGCTGGGCTTATGGCATACAGGGATACCTTTCTAGAATCGAGGTAGAGGGGAGGCTGTGCTTATGGCATACAAGGATATCTTTCTAGAATCGAGGTAGAGGAGAGGCTGGGCTTATGGCGTACAAGGATATCTTATTAGAATCGAGGTAGAGGGGAGGCTGGGCTTATGGCATACAGAGATACCTTTCTAGAATCGAGGTAGAGGGGAGGCTGGGCTTATGGCATACAGGGATACCTTTCTAGAATCGAGGTAGAGGGGAGGCTGGGCTTATGGCATACAGGGATACCTTTCTAGAATCGAGGTAGAGGGAAGGCTGGGCTTATGGCATACAGGGATACCTTTCTAGAATCGAGGTAGAGGGGAGGCTGTGCTTATGGCATACAAGGATACCTTTCTAGAATCGAGGTAGAGGGGAGGCTGGGCTTATGGCATACAGGGATACCTTTCTAGAATCGAGGTAGAGGGAGGCTGGGCTTATGGCATACAAGGATATCTTTCTAGAATCGAGGTAGAGGGAAGGCTGGGGGCATGGCATGTAGGGATACATTTCTAGGATCAAGGTAGAGGGGAGGCTGGGCTGGGCTTATACATTTCTAGAATCGAGGCAGAGGGGAGGCTGGGCTTACGGCATACATTTCTAGGATCGAGGCAGAGGGGAGGCTGGGCTTATCATATACAGGGATACATTTCTAGGATCGAGGTAGAGGGGAGACTGGGCATATAGAGATACATTTCTAGGATCGAGGCAGAGGAGTGGGCTGCGCTTATGGGATATGGGGATACATTTCTAGGATCGTGCAGTGACCAAAACACATCTAGCATTGTTAGCATTTGACTGGGTTCAGTTGTATCTCCTGGATCCATTTATTATTAGTCATAAGGAAGGCCTAAACCCATAAAGGCTACCCAGCACCTGGGAAATGGAAGGTGATTAATAATTATAACAAATTAAGCACTAAACCCAAAAGGATCATGCAACCTTGCAGGTTGGGATGTGCGAAAGAAGGAATGTGCAAAGGAGATGAAGGCAGTGAAGGGCAGGAGTATACTCACCTAATGTAGTTACAGGGGTCGAGTCATAGCTCCTGGCCCCGCCTCTTTGCTGGTCACTACTAGGTCCACTCTCTCCCTGCTCCATGAGTTTTATCACACCTCTTCTTAAAGCTATGTATGGTACCTGCCTCCACTACATCACTCTTCAGACTGTTCCACTTTCTGACAACTCTATGACTGAAGTACTTCCTAACATCCCTGTGACTCATCTCATCTGAGTTTTCGACTTCCAGTTGTGACCCCTTGTTCCTGTGTCACACCTCTGAAACATTTCACCCCTGTCCACCCTGTCAATTCCTCTTAGTGTGAGGACAGGAGTGTGCAAGAGCAGGAAGTTAGTGAAGTATGGGAAAGTACAAAAGGTAAAGAAAAATTACAGTTCGTGCAATAAGTTAGTTTTTGTTAAAAAGTCAGAAATAATATGTATCAAAGGTGGGACTTTCAGCGAGGTTAGTGAGAGTTTGTGTTGGGGAGACTGAGATGATGGAAGTGAAATCTGAGTGCCCTCTGATAAGCTGGACAATCTATTAAGATATGTTGAAATGACAGTTTCTTGCAGAGCGGTGCTGGGCCTTTTTCCATGTGGTGTCTGAGGCACGCAGGGTCAATATGTAGATGGGAGAATAAAATCTCTCAAACAACAGCAGTGGGAAGATTCAGAAACCTAAATGCAAGCTGACATAAAACAATTTGTTATTGACCAACTTAAGATATACCTTGGATGAGTTCCGAGAGTCTTTCTACTCCCGGAGCCTGACCATGGACCAGGCTTATTCCGGTGCTTGCCTGGTCAACCAGGCTGTTGCTGCTCTCTAAAAAATAATCTAAATAACGAATACGCCTGTGGGAAACTGGGAGATCATGATAAATGACTGAACATCGAGGTAGCCAGAAACACAGTAAAAACCAACGTTTCTGCGAAGGATGACGGAATGAGGAAAGTCAAATTTCTGGATAGCCTGAAATGCACTGGAAGTCTCTGAAGTAAATACGAATGACAAGGCAGACATCCATACAATGTGGAAAGTTAATTTAATATCTTTATTATGCACCCCAAGGAATGTTCACCTCTGCACAAAGGTGATCAACTGGGAAAGATTTGAAAACCCTGAGACACACACATAACCAGTGATGATGAATGGGATCAAGTTTAGAGAGTACTGTGGGAGGATGAAGAATATAGGTGGTCACTGTAGTTGTTTAGATAACATTAGGGCAGAATGAAGACGAAACAGGGCGAGTCTTATCAGCTCTGCAAGAAAAGTGGTCAAGAGTTTTAAGGAGATTCAGGTGGTTATGATATACAGCTTTCAGGGAGGTTATGTGAGGCTTCCAGGATATCCAGTGATCAAATAGAAGACAGGGAAATTTGACCATGAATAAAACCCATGTACAACACTTGGATATCTTTACTGTCAAAATGTTTCATCTGCACAGCAAGTTTCTTCGGTCGAATACTTCTACTGTCTCCAGTGTTATGTTCACCTGTTTTCAACTAGAATGCTGCTGTACTGGCAAAAAGTTTCTGCAGCTAAGATACCCAAGTGTTGCACATGTTTAATTCATCAGCTCTTGAACCTCTTGAGAAGGTTGAATTACAACTTCTGGGTCTGTTGAGAGAACTGAGCTGCAGTTCCTGTGTTTGTTGAGGGCTTTGAGGGTCAGCTACTATGCCTCTTTCGTTCAACGAGATACAGGGAAAAAGGGTTATGGGCTACGAAGGATACCTTTTCTGGATCGAGCAATGACATAAACAATTATAATTATTATAATGAAAACTAAGCACTAAATTCGCCAGGGTCATAAAGTGCTGTAATCAATTATATGCAAAACAAAAAAATAGTAAAAGAAATTTTAGGTCATTTTGCCTTCAAGCGAGACCTACTGTATTTTTCCCCCAGAGGTGTTCACTGATGCTGGTGAGAGGCTTTTGACTCAAGAAACTGGACTTATCCTTCCCTTCCTTTAATTGGACCTGATTGCCTCTTATTCCCCAGGGTCCTGTATAACCCCTATGGGTTTAGTCCTAACCCATAAATATAATAATAAAAATTGGCTGCAACCAATAAGCACAGCTTCAAACTCAATTATCTAAGATGTCCTGAATAAATTATTATTATTGTCTCTTTCAGGTTTAGTACTTACCTATTTTTTTTTATTAACTGGTCATTTCCCGTCGAGACAGGGTGACCCCGAAAAAGAAAAAGGAAACACTTTCTTCATCATTCATTTCATCACTATCTTGCCAGAAGTGCACCTGCACTACAGTTAAAAACTGTGACATACCTCCACACCTCTTTCAGAGTGCAGGCACTGTACTTCCCACCTCCAGGACTCACGTCCGGTTAACTGGTTTCCCTGAATCCCTTCATAAATTTTTTGCTCATGGGGAACACTTAACTCGTAGGGGTCATACTGTGCCTGGGAGAATGTGAGGCAATCAGGTTCTTAGGAAGGGGGGTATAAGTCCAGCTCCTTGGATCAAGATCCCTTCACCCATATCATGGCATCTGCCTTGAGGAGCCATTTATTTAAGGCATTAAATAGTGAAACTGACCAGATTTCATATTACTGTGAATTACATTTGCATGTGACTGAGATTTTATTGCAAATTATGAAAGAACTGCAATATTTTATATAATATATTCTAGTGGAAGCACTAAGCACATAAGGGTTATAAAATTTCTGAGAAATGGGAAGTAAGCAGGTTGATCCAAGAAAGGGGACGGTATGCAATACTTTGAAAACTCATGAAACAGGTCACATGCTGTAGCTAACTGTGTAACTTGCATATGTTTCCCTCTCCAACCCAAAACAGACAACAGCAACTTGTGTATGATGCTTGAGTGACACCTCAAGCAAAACCGGTTCTGCCACTGTGCTTATACAGTCTTGCAGTCAGCACAGTCAAACAACTATTCCATCTACCCTGCCAACCAATGCCATGCAGCTGGGTTTAGCCCTTGTACTTTCTCTCCTTTCTCCTATCCCTTCCTCTTCCTCACTTATCTTCCTCTATCCAAAATCTCCCTTTCACCCACATGGGTCTTACCTGGGAGTATTCTTACTGTGTAGTCTTCACTAATTAGAGCAAACTGATGATTTGCATTACTGTTGCAGTGCCAAGGGTGGTGGAGGTAAGGAGGGGGTGAAGCCCCAGTAACCTTCATCAGTCCCCCAATAAAAATGAACTTAGCTTTAAGCAAAGTCTTCTAGCCCCCCTTTTCCAACCAGACAGCTCCTCCTATATAAAAATTCTGGAGCTGCCCCTGAGAGATGACACATAAAATATGCAGTATTAAAACATTTAAAAAAAATAATAGGGCCTAATTTGTGTTCTAAAATCATCAACAGTAATATTCAAATTTTGTTTCACTGTATTCAAAGCCATTAATCACAGGTTTTTCAAGACTTAATGTCGTGATGTGCAAGACTGTTGATAATTTTAACACTAGTTGCCCTTTCTAGGTTACAGTAGGTTAAATCTAGTTTGTAGGTGTGTTATGAATTGTTCCTGCCAAAATACAGTGGACCCCCGCATAACGATCACCTCCGAATGCGACCAATTATGTAAGTGTATTTATGTAAGTGCGTTTGTACGTGAATGTTTGGGGGTCTGAAATGGACTAATCTACTTCACAATATTCCTTAGGGGAACAAATTCGGTCAGTACTGGCACCTGAACATACTTCTGGAGAGAAAAAATATCGTTAACCGGGGGTCCACTGTATAGTGATTTTTCTTCTTCCTGTAATAATGTTCAACATCATAAATTTAAAGCAGCATCCTATAAAATACTTAGTGACATGTTTGCTAGCAGGTACGGCAGTGGTGGTGTGGAAGTGGAGGTAAGAAAGTAAGGAGGAGAGTTCCTACCATGGCCCAACGACGGGCAGCCAACGTCAGGGAGAGACGTCGTATGTTCAATCTCAACGAAGCCTTCGATAAGCTCAGGCGCAAGGTATGTTTCATTAATAAACCTATACACACTTAAAGAGATCTAATGGTTATAATCATAACCATAATTTTTAAAGAGGTGGACAGGTTGGCCAGCAGAAGGCCTTGGTCATATGACCAAAAGCTCCAGCTGCAGATCATCATATGACTAAGAACCATGTCAGGAAAAACTTGTTCTATTTTCTGATAAACCTTACCTAACTTAACCTATACATACTTTATATGAGGATGTGTGTATCAGGAGCTCACATTAAAGAACATAATTTAGTACGTACTTGGATAAGGGTAAGAAGCTGTTTGTTGCAATTAATTTTTTGGAAAGGTATATGATAAGGTGGTTAAGAAAGCAATGTGCCAAGTGTTGCTAATTTATGGAAATATGGAACTGGTAGTACACTGTTAAAATTTGTAAAGAGTTGCTATGAGGAAAATGAAGCTCAGGTTAGGGTATATACATGGAAGTATTTTCAAATAAAAGTGGACAGTAGACAGGGACATGTAATATGACCATGGGTGTTTTTTATATATAGGTTCATAGATGAATATTGTAAAAGAAGTGAATACTTGAGTGTTGGGAAGAGGTGTGGATTTAAAAGATAATAAATTTTATATAACATAAAAGTTGTCACAATTGTTAACTGCTGATAACAGGACTTTTTTGAAATTTGCAAGAGACATTCCAGAGGTTGGTAGAGACACTGGAGAATTAAAAAAAAAAAAAAAAAAGGTTTATGGTGAACACAAAAAAAAAAAAAAGAGAAAGGTGATGACCATACATAAGAAATGAAAGATAGTATGCCTGATTCAAGAGAAAGCAAATGTACACTATTCAGATATGTATTTCAGAATGGATGTCAGCAAATGAGTCAAAAATGCCGAGACAAATCATAGAACAGATGAGGGGAAAACAAAGTCACCCTACCTTGGCAGAAAATAACCAATTTGGGAAAACTATATTTATATTATATTTTAACTTTCATTAAAGAAGCACTGCAGTTGGCTTACAGGCTTACTATTACTCAGGCTTACCCAAGGTAATCACATGTCCTTCAGATATTCTTGACAAAAAATAAAGTGCACTAGAACTTTAAAAAAAAAAAAATAAACTAGAGGTCCTTCATATTTCATTCATTTTTAGAAACTCGTAATAAATATTTATTGCATTACGAATATGCTTCCCTAAACAGAAAAAAAGCCTTGCACAGCATCCTATGCCAGGCTTTTTTTCTGTTTAGGGGAGCATTGAACACTAAAATGCATATTTATTTATTTCCTCCATGGTAAACAACATCAAGTTATTAACTAATGAGATCAAGGTATTTGATCATGTCTCTTCCAAAAAGAATTATTTATTTTGAAGACAAGCAGTTGCAAATGAAAAAATTCAGCAGCTGGCTCTCGTAACAAAAATCCAACGTCCATATATTGGTCAGGAACAAAGTCCTGACACTGTCTTATCATGTTAACCAGTCTGGTTCCCTCTGCATAACCTTTAACCTTTGATGGGTTTCAAGTTTTCCTACTGCTGCAGTCCAACCCTGACCCAGGCTTCTCTGGTGCATGACTGATGAACCAGACTGTTGCTGCTGGTGGCCTTAAACAGCCACTTGATACTCAATGACTCACAAAATCATGATAACACAATTGCAAACAAATCACAGAAACAACACCCATTCCATTCTTATCCATCTTATGTACAACCCTTCCAGTCATATCTAGAAAAGCAGAATCTGTCACCTGTCAGATACTGCATGTAACCAGAAATGTCCGAGTCCATTGTAGAAGCATAATCCTCATTTCAGAAAAATGCTTGAAGACTGGATTTTGCATACCACACTAACCTCACAAAAAATATCTTTAAATCAAGCTGTAGGTGACATTTTGTTTCACCTAATCAGAAATATAGCTAAAAAAAAAAAAAATTGCGCATGGTAAAACAAAATGATCATAATCTCAGTTTTTGTTCCATACTTCCTAACTTAATTGACTTATTCTCAGTAAGTCTTTTCACTTTGCTTTCCTATGGGAAAGTGCTAAAGCCTTAGGGGTCATACTCCAGCACCTGATGAATGGGAGGCAATCAGGTTTGATACAAGGAAAATAGCTCCAGCAGTAGTAGCTCCAGTTCCTCAGAAGAAAGAACTGGAGCCTGTACCTTTGAAGGGACACAGTATTGGATCTCAGAATTCTTGGATCTGCAAGCAACTAAACATCTTACTCCATCAAAATAAGTGCATGTGCCAATAGATGGGCCGTATATACCTCATCCAGACAGTAACACTATGACTAATTTTGAATTCATTATGATACACTTTGCTTGCAATAATTTTTCCATACCCTCATCATTCAATTATAAATCATTTTATTAGCATTACATAGAAGTTTTCAAAGGAGACTTGATTACTACCTCTCCTAAGTGCTAGATCAACCAGGCCATGATGGATATGTGGGCCAACAAGTCAAGAATAGCAACCACCTTGTTTATCAGGCAATCAACAGAAAAGCATGGTTCCAGGATGAGTTGCAAAGGTAGAAAAAAAACTCTCAAAACAGGTTATTGGCACTGAATATTAAAGGTATATCTAAATGAATTAAATTAAGGCAAATCAGGGTAAATGTAGCTACCACCAGCATCAACAGCCTGGTTGACCAGGCAAGTACCAGATGAGCCTGGCCCATGGCCTGGCTCCAGGAGAAGAAAAACTCTTGGAACTCGTCAAAGGTACGTATATCAAAAGTAAAGGTTTCCACTGGCCTTAGGATATGTTAAAATCAGGCTGTGATGCAATCCTAGCAGATTTAAAAAAATTCTACTTGTACATGCATTTTTTCTATATGCTGCTTAAAGTATTGTATTATGGAAGCAGCTTCTTACTTAATATTATGGTAATGATTCCTAATAGACTGAAAAATTACTAAGCTTCGTGTGCATATATAACATCTCTCTCATGTTCAGCTATTAATGTCATGTAATTTCTATCAATTTTTCCTTCCATGATTTTTCAGTCTTTGCAAAAACTTCAAATGTGTTTTGCTTTCTTGAACTACTGTCTTAAACATACCATGAACACTTCATTTTATAATTTACATATGGTAATTAGAAAATTTAGGGAGGTACTACCACCCTGCCAAGTGAGTAAAACGGAAACCTGTAATTGTTTTACATGATGGTAGGATTGCTGGTGTCTTTTTTTCTGTCTCATTCACATGCAAGATTTCAGGTACATCTTGCTACTTCTACTTACACTTAGGTCACACTACACATACATGTACAAGCATATATATACACACCCCTTTGGGTTTTCTTCTATTTTCTTTCTAGTTCTTGTTCTTGTTTATTTCCTCTTATCTCCATGGGAAGTGGAACAGAATTCTTCCACCATAAGCCATGCGTGTTGTAAGAAGCGACTAAAATGCCAGGAGCAAGGGCCTGGCTAATCCCTTCTCCTGTATAAATTACTAAATTTAAAAAGAGAAACTTCTGTTTTTCTTTTTGGGCCACCCTGCCTTGGTGGGATACGGCCGGTTTGTTTTATATATATATATATATAAAAAATAGAGAAAATTGTTTTATTGTGAAAGATATCAGATGTTGCCCAAACATAATGTGTAGCTCTCATTGCCTTTTCTCAGGTACCAACCTTTGCCTACGAGAAACGACTCTCTCGCATCGAGACCTTGAGATTAGCCATCACCTATATATCCTTTATGACAGAACTATTAGCTTCCGAGCACGAGGCTGCTGCTGTAGCTGCAGCAGCCGCAGCAGCTGCAGCAGCTACGAACACCACAACCTCTACATCAGCCAGTACACGAGGAGCAGCCCACAGAGGACCTTCATCAACCACCACTCTCCCTCCCAGGCATCATGACTACCCCGACTTGGCTCTCGGCAAGCGATGTCCATCTTACCCAACCCAACTTCCACCTCCATAATCTTATGCAGTATCTCTGTGCTGTCTAGTTTATCAGTTTATTTATATTTAAGTGTAATTGTGGATAGAAAAATCACATTTAATCAAATGTGGCTTATACAGTACATCAGTATCTAGTCTTCCAATTGTAGTTTTAGCATTCAACCATCTTCCAGAAAAAATTATTAAATGCTTTATATTCATACTAGACACATTACTCAGTAACTGCTAGTGCTGGACAATTAGATCAGCACTGCATAAGCTCAAGTTATTCATGAAGACACTAAGTGCTGGTAAATACCTCTCATCACATACTGCTGCAGTAATGTACAGTATTCATGTACAATATTAAACTGTGGCTACACAAAATGGTGCTTATTCTATTCTTAAATATTCAGTCACATTGCATGACCTTAACAAAGCAAATATACATTAAGATAAAATAAAAACTGCATACTGTAATGTCTTATTTACTAGGTGCTAGTCACCATGTGTTTAAAATATGAATAGTTTGATGTACCATATAAAAAATAATTAAATAGGCTACAGCAAAGCAAAAATTTGCCTACTTACTAAACTTGGATAGTAAAAACAATACTGAATTTTCTCCAAATGTTACCCACACAGGTTCTTCTTCAGTACTGTAGTTTGTTCCCCTCAGTGGCTGTGTAATGAAAAGTTGTGCCATATACAATAGTGTTCTGTTCAAGGACATAGTGTCTGAGAGTAGATAGTGTAAAGTATTATAGTACAGTATTAAATGACTATACAGTACATGCAGAGGGAGAGCATAACTTTCAGTTTCTAAGAGCAAGAGTTGTGAAAGTACAGTACAAGAGAATAAAGATATTCAACTTAGTAGCAGGCATCTATTGTTTCATGATTAGAGTTCCTTCTTGAAAATTACCTATAAGGGGGTGAATGAGACAAATACCTCTCCTATGAACTGAATAAAAAAAAAAATTCAGGAGGGAGGAAGCTGCCCCTGATATGAGAACAACACTGAGACTTTTGTAAAGCTTTAATAACTAACAAGTGTCATATCTTTTAATCCCAAAGAGAAATCTTAGTTCTTGGGATTCACTTTTGGCAAATAAAGAAATGTGATGTTTCCAGGATAAATCAAAAGGGAATACTTTTTTGAATACAAGATCTGAAGGTTATAAATTAAGCACTTCAGCTCAATGAGTAAAGAGAGCCCTCGAAAAAAAAATTTATTTGCCTATATAGTAGTTTTAAAAACATTACCATTCAACTATGCAAAATATAGATGGGTTAAACATGTGTTCACACTTTACACTTGCTAAGATTCTCATTAAACCTCCAGTTCGTGCAATATATAACTTTTCCACTGCCATCCTTATAAACAGCAACAGATTTCATAAAACTAACAATTAAACATGTTTACCATCTAGATCAGTGTTACACTTGGATGCTTGTTTTTTCACTACATTCTTACTGTATACATCTTTGAAAAATCTCAATTTTTGCCTTGTTCCTCTTATGATTTATCAAAAATTAAATACATATGCATATGTAACCCTTTGGAAATTGTCATTTAGTTCTACCATGATTCAATCCATTATTCATTAATTATAACCATACCATGGGTAGGGTTTGAACCTGCGGTTTGTTTGCAATCATGTCATTACGATTTCGTGAGTCATTCATTAATTTTGTTATTTTCTCTCAGTCTCAAAATTATTTTTTATTAACACATCGGCCATTTCCCACCAAGGCAGGGTGGGCCAAAAAAAGAAAAACTTTAATCATTCACTCCTTCACTGTCTTGTCAGATTCATGTCTACACTGCAGTTTATGAAACTGCAACATTAACACCCCTAATCTAGTACTATAATGTTTAATAAACATGTTGCCATTGTATATATGCTTACACTCCAGATGTTCTTAGAAGATTCGATGGGGCACAAAGACGTACTGATAATAGGGGACTCTCAACAAGGGAGGGAAGAGATGGTTGTTAGACACAAATGAGTCATAAACATGTCAAAAAGTAAGTCTTCCAAGTAGTAATACAGTGTAACAATGTGTATAAGAAAATTGTGAAAACAGTCTTGACTCAGTTTTAAGGGTAGGTATAACAGTGTCTGTGAGACCAGGAATATTATGAAGCCATTTGTGAGTAGTCAAGAGAAGTAGAGGAGTACAACTAACATTTGAAACTAGTTTAATATTCCAAAACTTTCATACTTAAATTAATCAGTCTTATCAAACCCATCATCTATTGTGATAAATGGCTTTGAAAACCGACAAGTTGAAGACTGAGACACTTGTGTAACATATGGGAATCTTTATTTAGGAAACGTTCTGCCACACAGTGGCTTCATCAGTCTAATACAAAGCAGAAGGGTGTAAAGAGAGGAGGAGTTTGAGGTAATCAGTCCCTCAGCCTGGAGTCGATGTGTTCAGTCCATCAGTCTTGTAGAATGTACAGCATAGGGCCGTAGACGTGGCTTATATACTGTAGTCAGGTGAGGCGAAGCAGGAGGAGGCAGGGTCATAGTGGTACCATCCACTAGTTGAAGTAGATCTTTGTCCAAAGGTTGGACAAGTTTGAAGAATTCTTTGTATCAAGATCCCATGATGATGCAGTGTCTGACAGTTGTGATAAATGCTTTGCATTGGACTGATGAAGCCACTGTGTGGTGAAACGTTTCCTAAATAAAGATTCCAGTATGTTGCATAAGTGTCTCAATCTCCATCATCTATTATTTAAAACCCAATACTGTACTGCTTGTCACATGTTTTTCAGTATCTAATGGCAGACCAAGTATCACTTCCACAATATTTCACATACATGTAATACTGTTTGTATTTTTTCCAAACAAAAATCAAACTAAGCTGTCACTTATAAAAGCATATCTCTCCCATACACTTATAGTTTTCTCTTACATTTCTAAATTGCTAATTAAACACTTAAATTTTCGTAATGTAGCCAACTGCAATTTCTTTGTAGAAATGTTAATCCTGTTTTATTGTAAGAAACTATTTTTTTAATTTTCTCTGGAATTTCTCCTTATTGGAAGGCACAAGTTAAAAAACTTCATGTATTCTGGTATCAGTTTATTTTCCTCTAATCTGTGAACTACCTGTAAGCCAAGGTTTAACTGCCATGGAATATGAAAAATTTTATATTATGGACTGGTTTAGTTAATATATAAATTTTCTCCTTTGTGAAATTGAGAAGTGGGGTAATGGTCAGTAAGTTTATTCAGGCACAGGTACACATGTGATAAATGGTTCAGAAAACTGACAAGCGGAAGATTCCCAAATGTTGCATGTCACATCCTTCACAGGTACACATAAGTACAATTATCATACATAGTGTAAATTACCTATAACCCATCCCCCCCAAAAAAAAGTCAAAGTGGGTGACACTTATTGCCCTGTGAAAATGAGAAGCGGGGTTATGATATAAATTCTATCAGTGTGTACAAAAAGATCATACATACTTTCATACTTTAACAATTAATACAGTACAGTGCTGTACTTTAAAACTATTATTGTGTTTATAAGAAGTGCTAAGTCCATGTTGGTTATTCAGCTCAAAATGATGAAGGCTTGACTCTCCATTTACTAAGGACAAGACACACATTATCTAATTGTACTCACCTAGCAGTCTTATACCTTACTTTAAAATAAATTGAAGCTTTACAGATAAAACTCAGGTGTAGAGCAAGCTTTCACTGTAACATTTAACCTGTCGGTATTTTATACCATTTTAATGTTCAAATTTAACTTTGTGTAGAGCTTTATTAAGTCAACAAAGACATTATCATAATGAAAGCTTCTTCTGCACCTGTTGTTTCTTCATAATTGTCAGCAGAGAGCCTTTGTATTCTAGAACTTTATATTTCTCATTTACTGCATATGCCTATTTTAGGTACCTGGATGTTAGTCAGTTGTCATGGGTCACATTCTGGAGGGGTGGTAGTATACTTTAGATTTGGCTGGACTTTGAAGTATACTACTTCCCCTCCAGAATGTGACCCATGACAATTGACTAACACCCAGGCACCTAATTACTATCTAGGTGAACAGGGGTAGCAGGTGTAAGGAATCATGCCCAATATTTCCACCCACACCTGGAGGGTGTTACAGGAGTCAATGCCCCTGTGGCCCAGTCCATGACCAGACCCTGCCAGGAATCGAACCACAGACACTCAATATTTAAGCCTGAGTGCACTGCCAACGATATAAAAACTGAATTATACAGAGCTTTATCTGAATTTTTGTTGATTCACTTGTCCTGGAATGACCTACACATATCAAAAGATACACGTACTTTTAAATTAGTCTTTTAGGATTGAGGTGACAGTTTAAGATATGGAATTTTTTAGAAAATATCCAGTACACTATACATAAAGTACTGTAAATGGCAGCAGAGGTAGTCCAATAATTCTTCTGGATGTATTTTTCATCCTTTTCAATAGTATTAGACACAGGGTGACAGAAAATATGTTAACAAGGGCTTTTTCAAAGCTATTAACAGTTAATTCACATTCATTAACTCTGGGCTACATTTGTGACATATTTTTTAACTTTTTTATATTTATCTATTTTTATGTAAAGACAGCAATGTTCAGTTGTACACTTAAATTTTTGTCTAATGTTCTGTATGTTATAACGATAAAAATTGTACATGACATCCAGGTAACTAAAGCTATTTTCAGGCTTGTTAATATTGCACATGAATCCTTCATTGCTGCATTTGTATGTGCTTCACTTTCCTGTGTTTGTTGTTCACTTTCCTGCCAGTCACATACCTATAATTAATTTTGAGAGTTTTTCTAACCCTCACAGCTTGGCATGAAACAAGGCTTCCTTGTTGATTGCCTGTTCAACCAGGCCATTACTATTATTGATCGGCTCACCCACAAAACCATCACAACCTGTTTATTAATCTGTCCCTTGGTGAGGGTAGTGGTTAAGTTTCTTCAAGAAAAATTCTACATTTGTCAACTGGCCTTGAGGGAAAGATTACCATGTCAAGAGCAACAAGGATGTAACAAGGTCATTTTGATTTAATCTTATCATGAGCTGTGTAAAAGCCCCCCACAAGATCAATAAAATTTTATTGATACAATACAGGGGGCCCTGTTTCTATGGCTGTTATGTTCCTGACCCCCGAAAATAAGTGAAAATCACCGGCAAGTGGAAAAGAGCATTTTTTCAATATTGAATGTGTCTAAAATGCCTGATGTGTTCACTTTATCACATGTAAAGTGCTCAATACAGCTAGGCATAAAAAACAGATACAAAAGCAAAATAAATAAAAATACATCCAATATGGAACTAGTCACCCTTCCCTTACACAACTGACCGTTGTGCAAAAACGGCAGAAAAGCAGAAAAAGCATCAAACATAATGAACAATGGCTCAATTGAAAACCAACAAAAACGTAGAACACTGAAAAGAGGATGCTGAATATGTGGGGCCCCTCCTATACACACTACCCTCATTATCACAATAATCTCAAATTTCTGAGATCTAAACTTTAGCTAACTTGAAATGCTGTGGCTAGTAATTCTGGAGGCAATAAAATCTAAACAAATTATGAGAAAAAGACATACGTAAAACAAGCTTTTGTAGGAATAACGAAAGCTTATTAAGTTACTGATGACTTAATAAACATTATATAAAGCAAAATGCTATTCTAATAAAATCATATTATAAATGGTATACAATAGCTTTATTTGACTGATGAAGCCTGTGGCACAGGCAAAAATGTTTTTGTCAATGATAAAACCTGTGCCTAGGGTTGCACATACAGTATGTCTTACTTGTCCTAAGAAAAGCTTGATCTGCAACATGTCTCATTATTTTCAACACTTTGCTATTTAGATTCTGCAACAAACTTATGTCTTCCACTATATACTGTACTCATGGCCTGTGCTGAGTGACGATACAGTACAGTAAATGGTACTTTAGATTATGAATTTTGAGCAATATTACAATAATAAGAAATGTAATTAGACTATCACAGTTGTTTTACAATTAAAAACATGTACAAATGTCTTTTATTACAAAACAAAATACTACTGTAATACTACTATTGTTGTTTATTAGAGAAATTTCACACTCAAAAGCAGAGTTGCAATAATAAAATAGCCATTAGTCGTAGTAACTTTCTGTAGATTAAAAAAAAATATTTCTTAGTATTTATTCCCTTTCATAAATATTATTTATTTATATTCCATTTCAGAGTGCTGTACTGTATGTTGAGGTTGTGAATAGCCATTAGTACATTCACTATGTAAAAAATTTTAAATGTCAAGAGCAAAACATCAAATAAATGTACTGTATTACATATATAAAAATCTTCTTTGTAAAATAAAATTTACTATACAAATGTAGTATAGTAGACCTTTTGTAAAATCCTTTAGTCCAGTAGTAGTATATGTTATAGTGTTTGTACAAACAAAATTGTAATAAATACTTGTCCAGGCATTTTAAAATATGTATATGATAGAACTTGTGAGGGCAGGAACAATGTTATCATTCATAAGTAGTTGAGAAGTTGGGGGGCAAGATGTGAAGACTTAACCCCTGCAACCCAAACTAGGAGACTACAACAAGGAAAGCACTAGTCATTGGTACCAGAGACCCACATGAAGACAATGAAACAATAAACAGTGACAGATGCTTGACCTAAGGTGTGTACAGGAGCAAGTAGAGGAGCTAGGTCAGATTCAGGGACTAAGTCAAGTGTAGGAGGTAAGTCATGTCCAGGAACTGAGTCAGGCAAAAAGATAAAGTCAGAAAAAAAGGACTATGATTGAGTCAAGTCCAGAAATGAGTGCCTTCCGAGCATAGGAAGCAGTAGTATCAGGTTTTTGCTAGCCTGGAGAGATACCAAAATTTGGTTCTGATAAAATCACAACTGCATACTCCACTAGTGTAATGACCGATAATTGTGTCAGCCAGGCTGACACTGCAACTAGGAATTTAGCAAACTATTAAGCAGTCTCTAATAAACCATTACAAATGGGTATCATGCTTTGAAATGTGGAATACGTATATCCAATGTGAAAATGATTTACAAAATGATTTATAAAGGTTCTAATTAATGATCAATCAGCCTGACCTTGATAACCATAATAGTACATGCAGCAGTGGATTAAGCTGGTTAAATTTAGATTAAGAAAGGACAGAGGAAAGTACTGTACTGGTTTCGCAATACAGGAAGGCCCAGCTTATACAGCAGATTAGGCTCTGGGCTACTGTTGTAAAGTGAAACGTAGCTTTTTTCACTTTCAAATGCATATAAAAACATAATAACATGCTTACATTATCATATATTAAGTGAGCAATTGAGTTAGTCCTTAAAAATGCATATACAGTACACACATTACTTACCTTAAAATATTTTCATACTTAGCTTATAGCGAGTGGTGAATATATTTATTGTAGTAAGCCGGAATAAACAAAGAATGGGTATAACTGAAAAAACTGCTGCATTAGCAAAATGCTGTAAAGCAAAGTGTTGTAAAGTGGGACCCTCCTGTAGTTATAGATGAGTAGAACAAACTCCTAAGCAGTGTCAATGAAGCAAGCATTTTGGGTAGCTTTACAGCCCCATTCACCTCCCCTTCTCACCTATCTATTTCTCTCAAAACACAATATTGAATACATGAACCTATTTTAGTTACCTCATTAGTTACACAGTCATTTAACCAAGATTCATAGAAATACGAAAACCTAAGTTTTCAATGTTAGATTATAAATTTGTGACAAATTTGGTAATAGTATATATAAAGTACAGTACTATGTGAAATGTTTTAAAGAATACTAAGATTTGGTTTTTACTGTCAAATTGGTTGGGACATTGTCTAGGTCATTTTGGTTAATGGTAACTGGGTTAGAGTATATTACATACAAGCTGAAAAGAAGTGCAGTATGCTGCTATTTTGAAACTCATACATTTGCTATACACTTATTCCTTGTGTGTTTAACAGCTAATGCCACTATTGTTAGTCAGTTCAGCATTACAATGAAGACAAAATTTTGTATTTCTTTGTCAATTTCGTGTTCTTTAGTTTGTTAGTGACTGGCAAGCAGCTCTTTGCACACTTTGTTAATTGGTCATCTTAGCTTGTTCAGTTTAAATTATATTTACTCTGAGGGAGTAATTAGATTTATTATACACTCTTGCTAGTTAACACAAAACACCACAAAAACTATCTTGCACAGCATTCACTGACAATGTATGTACATATACAGTATAAATAAAAAAACAGTGAAAAATAAACAGAAATACTGTATACTTGGTCACATTGTATGACCTTATTGTATCATTCTAAGCTCAGTCTACATAATGCATTTTTTTAAACCCATAACACGTAGAAGAGGAAGATTTTGTTGAGATTATTAACTGGAAGATAAGGCAAAATATGTTTGGATTTTTAACCTGCAGGGTTAGCCACCCAGGATAAGCCAAGAAAGTCAGTGTGTCATCGAGGACTCTGTCTTATTGCTATTGTGGCCCTTCAATCTTGTCCCCCAGGATGTGACCCACACTAATCAACTAACACCCAGGTACCTACTTACTGCTAGGTGAACAGGAACAGCAGGTGTAAGGAAACACGACCAACATTTCTGCCCATGCCGGGGATTGAACCACGAACACCCAGTGTGTGAGATGAGAGCGTTGCCATCTGAGCCACCCAAGATAAGTTAATAAAGGTCATGTGTCATCAGGGACTATTGGTCTCATTTCTACTGGGATTCATTAATCCATACCCCGAACAAAGGCTGGATACCTGGAGTATACCTGGAGGGAGTTTTGGGAGTCAATGTCCCTATGACCCAGTCCATGACCAGGCCTGAAGAATATGAAGGAAATATGCCCAACATTTTACCTGTGCCGGGAAGCAGTCCCCAGTCACTTAGTGTGAGAGCTGAGGACACTACCAACTCTAATGACCATTGTAAAAAGAATTATTGTATATATTAAGCATGGAAACCAAGATAAAAACTTACTTGATGTGTACATGCATGTACATATACACACATCTTTAGAGAAGACAAAGAATTTCAAGTACATTTTATGGGTTTTTCATGGCTCAGTCAACAGCATCCTCACTGAGGGACCAGAGATCACTCCCCAGCACGGGTGAAACGCTAGTAACTAGTACCGTATTTCACAGCTTATAAGACGCATTTTTTTTTCCATAAAATGTCTCCATAAACCACCCTGCATCCTATAAACTGAATGTCAGTGACAGGAGCTATAAGTCTGGGGTGTGGGGTGGGCTGTAGCTCTCCCGGTTACACCTGATGCCTAGCCATTAAAACTAAAACAAGTCTTATAACCTGCGTCTTATAAGCTGTGAAATACAGTAATTAAGTAAATATGTAAATATATTTAGGTGCAGGTACACATAAGTACAATTATCACACCTAGTAACTCACATATAAATTACCTAGGATAAGCCAAAAAAGTCAGTGACTTATTTCCATTGGGGTCCATTGGACATGTTTCTTTACACCTGCTGCCTCAGTTCACCTAACAGTAAGTAGGTACCTTACCTGGAGTATACCTGCAGGGTTTTCTGGTGGTCAACGTTCCTTAACCCAGTTCATGACCAAGCCTCACAGTGGATCAGGGTCTCATCAATCAGGCTGTTACTGCTGGCCACACACAAACCGGTGGCCTGGTGGCTAAAGCTCCCGCTTCACACACGGAGGGCCCGGGTTCGATTCCCGGCGGGTGGAAACATTCGACACGTTTCCTTACACCTGTTGTCCTGTTCACCTAGCAGCAAATAGGTACCTGGGTGTTAGTCGACTGGTGTGGGTCGCATCCTGGGGGACAAGATTAAGGACCCCAATGGAAATAAGTTAGACAGTCCTCGATGACGCACTGACTTTCTTGGGTTATCCTGGGTGGCTAACCCTCCGGGGTTAAAAATCCGAACGAAATCTTATCTTATCTTAACCACGGCCCGGCTAGTCAGGTACTGACTTTAGGTCTGTCCAGCTCCCTCTTAAAGACAGCCAGGGATCTATTGGTAATCTCCCTTGGTGTTAGGTAAGTGCTGAGTGCTGCATCCTGCAGAAGAGGCATAAATAACCCTAATGGAAATAAACCAGACAATCCCCAGTATCACACAGGCTTTACTGGGTTATACTAGGTGGCTAACTCTTCGAGTTGGAAAAAATCTGAACACAATATCATTTTAAATGGGACTCCCACCTGAAAGTTTTATTATAATAAGTACAGAGGAGCACTTACTGACCTATGCTAGTAAGTTAGTTTTATTCAGGTACAGGTTCACATAAATGCAATTACATAAATAATCATACGCAGCAACATATGTGTAGATTAAGTAAGTTTATACAGGTACATTATTATTATTATAATCAAGGGGGAGCGCTAAATCCGTAGGATTATGCAGCGCCTATGGGGGAGATGTGGAAGGTATTCAAACTTAATTCAAGGAACTGGAGCAAAGATCCAATTCCCTAGATCAAGAGCCCCTCACCAACGTCAAGGAACCTTCCTTGAGGGGTTATTCAGGTACAGGTATACATAAATAGTTACATAAATTATCATACGGTTACCTAGTATAACCCAAAGAAGTCAAAGTGACTAAATTCCATTGGGGTCCTTCTAATTTCCACTGGGAAAGTACACGCAATTAATTAATTATCAACTCTAATGTCCAACCTACAACAGAAGTAAATATATTAACCAAACTAAAATAAAGAGTAAACTTCTTTACTGAGTAAGGTAGCCAGACCCAATATTTTATTAAGGCATCAATTAAAGTAAGTCATGGGGGTTTTATAGGCTTATGCTGGGATACTTACCACCAGGATTAATAATCCAAATAAATCTTCCTCTATCAATAAGATAAGATATATTTTTTTTTATAATCGTAAGTACACACATTAACACTGATATATAAGATAAGATTATATAGATTTAACCTCCGTTATAATTAATAATTTTAACATAAGTCAAGCAATGTAATACAGCACATAACTGATCAATATTACATTATAAATATATTTAAACAATAAATATGTTATTCCACGTGTTATACCATAAACAAACAAGACAGCTAAGGGCATTGTCTCTCTAAATCCTCTATAACACCTTTAATTCACATCAAACTTGCTGGAATTATAGTTAAAACTGTACTCACCGAGTTATACGTTCCATCTTGGGTCAATATTCACTATTTAAGGAAAATTTGAGGAGTATAATAGGTGCTGCACTAGTCTATAATGTGAGAGAAAACGTTAATGTGAAGCAACACAGAAAACTATAATTCTATGGTCACTTCCCCTAAAATCTTGATTTCTTATGAAAATACATAGAAGTTACAATATATTAGTTTACAA